GTCATGGTAGTTTGAAGTCAGAAGTCAACTGCCGATTAATAGACTTTTTTGTCGTATGAGTATACGTTGCTCAGGGTGCACCACGTGGAGCTAAATCTATCACACACCCCACTTTGAAACGTTATGAATACTCATTCAATTAGTCAACCGGTCAATTAGCGCATGGCAATTCGTGAAATCGTAGAATGTGAGGCCGTGAAATGACGAGTGCTTTTCATGATGATTTATTTAATCTCAGTCTCTTTTCCAGTTAATTTCGTTCATTTCTAAATTTTTTTTCTCTCCTTTGTTTTCCTTCAGAATCGAGCATTCCAACGATATCGAGGCCTTTCATAAGATGTTTCAGTATCTCGAAGATAGCACAATTCGTGCTGATAAATCAGGTTAGTAATTACTTAATAGTTCTCTTCAAATGTTTTGTTTTTTTCGGAAGTTGTTGAATATGGAAATTTAATTGTGACCTGCGTTTTCTCTGATCGATTATTTAATTCTATTGCTTTCAATGACTTGTTCGAGGCATTGGTCTTGCTGTGGCTAGTGAATATTTCTTTGCAACTTTCTGCTTCGTGCCCTATCACATGGTGTCAATCACTCAAGATGATGAGAAATGCTCTCCTTGTTAATTGAACTTTATTTGTCAATCCTTCAATAATTTCGATGAGCTTGTGAAGCTGAGGGTAACGCGAATGTCCGACCTTATTAGAAATTGCACTTTTTATTGTAGTTTGTCATTGGTGAATAACCATTGATTTTCTTTTCAAAATATGCCTAAACTAAAGTTCAGCCAAACTTAGTGCTGCTACAGTTAATAAGAGTAATAAAGTGGCCTTAGTATTCAAGTATTCAAGTGAACGTTAATCCTAATTGAATATCTCCATCTTTGACATATAACCTTTTTTGTAGATATGTGGGCTTGTGTGACGCAAGTTGCCGTGAGAATTTTCCAACGTCTAATTCAACGTCTGAACAAAATGGTAAGCGTGTGCTCACATGCCACTATTTTGCTTGATAAATCTCAAGATGAATGTGACCAGTGTTAGATTGAATGAAATGGCGATTGAGATGTTAACCCTTGAATAAACGTGATGATAGGCACGTGCATATGAGTTATGTTGCTCAAACAGCGACTTTTCTTCCCTCCGTTAAGAACTTGGATATATTAGGTCATTCAGTGGCAAAAAGTGGGTACACTTCATTGTCGCCAGGTACTACTTTTTGCGCTGTAGAATAAAACCTGAAAATGCAATCACCCAATTTTGAACCAATTTTGTTCAAATGATATCTTTATTTATGCTTCTGGCATTCTACTTGGCTATTCCTACTGCTAATCCTGCGTTATCATTATTATTATCATTGATTTCACTTTTTTATTCATTACTTTAGCACTCATTTGACACTTCCAGCGCTTCTTAAAGCTAGATTAATTAATGTTATGGGATTACTGATTATTACCTATTTTCTCACGCTAGTCACCAACTCAGCAGGGTCCGCCGTCTCAATTCCTTTACAAATTTGTTTTATCCCTCCAGAAATTCGTTTTCCTATTAATTTCTGGATTGAGTGATCGAATTGTTGTTGCAATATCTGTGCCTGAGCAAGAATATAGCCCCATTATTGAATTCTGTGCCGTCAATTGTAAAATTTTCGTGTTTTTTTTCACTAAAATTCTCTTCTCTCTTGCTTTATTTTAGCCAATGAACTCAAAGCGTGAGGAGTTAGTGGACATGCACGCACAATTCCTATTGGTTAAGTTCAATCATATTCAGAAGGGGGTTCGTGTCGTCGCAGACCAGTTCTTGAGCGATCTAGCTAGAGTGTAAGTTCTCTTTTTTTGGGTGGTGCAATCATCATTCAATAAGAGCTCAATTGTTCCTATTAATTGGATCTGAGACTATGTTGTTTTATTGCTGCTAACCTGCTAACTCATCAGTCTCAAAGTTCACAGACCATGGGGAGAATGCATTAATATAACCTGCTTTATTGCCCAATATTTGATATTAGTACTATTATTTATTTTAAGATAGTCGGGAAAATTCATTTTTTGGCGGTATAAAAAGGGAATCATTCCAAATGTCGAAGTAGCTTTTTAAACTTTTTCACCGTTATTAGAATTGGTAAACGTAAATATCGACGCGAAAAGACTGTTCTTACAATAAAAAAATAGATTTTGCTTGGAAGAACATAGAATAGCCTTCACGCGCTTAAGAAGAAGTTGGTTCGAAGAAATCCGTCGCCATTTTCCTTGGAAGAAAAATTAAATTGAAACGTTTTGTCTGGTCGTCCAAGTTGAATAACTAGACATTACGAATACGATTGCACTCACTAACCCAGAATACATCTTTAAAAAAGATGTCTGATCGAATTTCTTGCTTTCGATCCCTCGGGTATACTTTTCTTGCGCCCGACCTTCACCACAGAACAGGAAGAGGCCATTGTTTGAATGCTGTTACTGAGTACAACGAAATAGCTTAGAAATGAGAGTGCGAGAGCGACTGGAACGTATGTACGAAGTATGTGTGTATATGCTTAGTGCAGACAAAGACGAAGAAGAAAGCACTCTTTGGAATAACAAGGTTTTTTTGTCTAAAACTCTTTTGCAGATGTTTCGAACTCAAGTTCGTGGCGGAACCACAAATTAGCCGGTTTCTACTTGCTATGCACCATTAATGGGAGCTCAAGTTATTCAGTACATCAGAACAGGCGTGTATGGGCCTTTTCGCAGAAAAGGAAAAAGTCCAAAATGTAGGGCTTCTTTGTAGAATGAGTTGCAATCCAGGAGCCTCGGTCTCAGTGGGCTTGAGTGGTGAAGAATGGACCAATAAATAGTAGAGGATACAAGTGTGGGGGAAAAGGACCATTTTGCTGTAATGACCGCTACTCTCTCTAAGTGATTATTTGATGGTGGTTAAGACCCTATTCAAGATTCCATTGGTCCACTCTACTCCCACTTTAGTCTGGATTAGCGTACTTCTAGTCTTTCAATAATGATCTAACTTAATTTTGTTGTTGAAGCTGTACTGTAAGTATATGTGATAAATTCTCCTCTTTTGCAGATTCCCACACATTATGTGGAGTGGAAGAGTGCTGTTCACCATGCTTGATATCACCGAACTCCTTGCGCAATCCCTTGAAATTGTATGCATTCCTTTTCTTTAATCAATATACTCAGGCTCTTGATGGTTGCATAAAAGCATTTATCTCTTTATGCTTCTCTCTAGGGAATGAATCACGTTCCACCGGTCTACACTGTTCCCGACACTCCATTTTACCTATCTGTCATGGAGACACGGCAAGACCGTCAACAAATTCTCTCCGACTTCGTTAAGCGTTGCACATCTGTGATTGAAGAGGGTCTTAAATGGACCCCGGGTTTGGTTCGGTCTCATCTCGCCGAATACGCTCTTCAAAGAGAGCACTCTTGGCAGGGTCTTCATCGACACACGGGTTTAGCACTCGCTTCTGAACTCGTTTTCAATTACAATGGACCACCAAGCCGTATTATTCACACTGTCTTAGTATGCATATTATTATTGCCCATGCCAAATCATATGCATTAACACGTTTAATCATGACAAAGCATTTGAATTTGGGAAATAACAAAGGGCTGTAAAACGGAAGTGGGGCTACCACTGAGTAATTCATTATCTCGCAAATGGCAGATCATTTGTGATGTCCTAGTGTTCAGTCTTCTTCCATCAAAGCCCGCTCTATTCAGAGTCTGGTGGCCAGTTGTAAATTTTCCAAATTTATTTGTACCTTTACGCAACTAACGGCGAGTGTATGTATGGGACTGGTAGCGATACATTTAATGTTGTAAAGCTAGAAGGAAATTCGTAATTTGGTCATACACGGATAACCTGGCTACAACGAACTAGCAAGTTTATAGTCTGGAAGAAGGAAGTCCTCATCATCCTCTGATTATTTTTTTAGAAATCTTTGGTTTACAACGATGATTAGTCAACTAATAACTATTTATACCAGCTTTCAAGACCATGTAAGAAACAATTTGGTCCGTTTTACTCAAAGTCGTGTCCTAGATACGAACCAGATGTGGAAAGGGAGAGTAATTTTTACTCACATTAGGATACTATGTGGATGTATCCACCATCCCCAGAGAACTGGAGGGTATAAATTGTAGGCTCTAATTGTAATCCATCTCTTCTTGTTAATTCGTTAAGGATTAATCGATTTCCGTGTTTTATTGATCAACAATTTTTAGATGCTAGTTTAGAATGGCCAAATTGACTATTAACTAGGAAATGGGTTTCAATATAAGTCTCGTGCCAGGTGTTTCCCCAACAGTCCAAGTCTATTATTGAAGCCTCGTTTCCCTTCACTTTAGCCTGGGGTTATGGATAAACGACCAAATTCTGCTCGGTATGACTACTCGAACTTTATCTGCAATTTGACTTTACGCAGTAAATTCCTCGGACAAGTCAGTGGTTTGGTCAAAGAGAAATCCGATCTGAATTGTGCTGCTGTTAATGCTATTCAGGATTTCGAATGCGCCTGTGCTAAAGGTACCCCCCCCCCAGAATGCCTGTATTAGCAATCGCATTTACTATTCTCCTATCTGATCGATTTATTGATTTTCGCCTTTAGCAAAAGTGAAAGGAGATCAGATTAACGCCTCTAGTCCGGAATTTGAAGCTATTCAAACTAGTCTCTTTACTATCACAGCTCTTTTAGTCGCTCGTGATGACCGATCGTCATCAATCGCGTGTAAAATAGATAATGTTGATGAGACTTTCGATTCCGATCCGGTGGTGTGCTCTTGTGGATCACAACCCTTCAGTCCTGCTCTTCAGCGTAAACAGGCCTTCGTGATGCAGGGAGCAATGGTACGAAAACTCCTCCAACAACTCTGTCGTGCTCCCATCAAGATATTCACCCCGATGATGGTTGAATTGGCCATCTCCTGTTGGTACTGGCTTTTGGCTGCTCGTGCTAATCTCAAGCTTCAAGTATGATTGTCCATTTTATGCTTTGTCTACCAAATTTAGAAGTAACCTATATCCTCCTTTATACTTTATTTTGAATGCCTCTTCTCAATCTCCATTACAGCTTTATTGAGAGAATCTTTTATCCTCCCTTTTTATTGTAGGAGAGTATAAGGCTATTAGGCTGCGTTAGATTTCCACTCAGATTTATAAAATGTTCCAAAGTAAGGACCCAAGTGTGTAACATGACCTTTATTTTCTATATGTAGTTCACTGTGTACTTTGAAGTAGTAAGGATGGTGTTGTTGAGGCTGGGGTTAGCTGAGTTCAAACAGGAAAGTGCACTTCAATGGTGTCGTGTAAGTATCTGAAGTTCCAATGGTCAACATGCATGTCTGTGGAGTCGAAAGTCACGTGATTTGCCTGACAATGGAGATGCTAGAATGTGAATTTCTCGAATGGTGATTTCAACATACCTTTTCTCTACTCAAGTCAAGCCCGTTATTGCGTTCTTTCTTAATTTAGAAATTTCAGATTTTGGTGGTAACGTTCATACTGCGGGGATATTCCAGTTGAGAAAAGGGGATGTTTTGAGTTTGCTCATGTGGCCTACTAGCTCATATTGGCGCTTTATTGCTACGGTCTCTCAAAGCCTTGATTAACATGATTGGATTCGGTCATTTTATGGCTGTTAATTTAGGAAATCGGTAAACACTTTTATATATGGAAATATATAGTTGTTTTGATCAGTGTCAGGGTTTTTCCAAGTTATGGAAAGCCGATAGCCAGTATAGTGGCCCATGGTAAAGGACTTACATTCTGGTAAGATTTAAGTGATAACTATGTGTTATTTTGGGGTATTTAAATGTCCGAGAAAGACTCTACTCTTTTCCAATATCCAGTTCACATGTGAAATGAACGCTGCTTGGAAATCCACAGTAGACCAGGGAATGGGCGCGTTTTCTGATGAAGCTGATGGTTTAGACAAGGATAGCCCACTCATGATGCTCTCCGAACGTGAAACTTCTTCAACAAAACGAAATTACGCTCTTCCTCACTGCCTATGGGCAGACGTGAGTACCACTACTTCATTCCATTGAGCTATTTTCCTCATCGCTTTGTCTGACTTGGCATTGGGGTTCTCTCTCTTTCAGTTCCTTTCAGAACGTCTTTATGTGGCTCAGTCCTCTAGTCAAGAGGAAATTAAACTCTACGTTAGTCTTCTTCAACACAGCCTCTCGGGAGAAGTGGATTATCTTGCTAGGAGTCGAGACAATGGAACAGGAACCGGGTTGAATAAGGTAATGATCCCCGTTCGAGCTCGTCTCTCGCGTTCAATGGCCGCAATGGGTGTCAGGTTCCGCCTGGCCAAAATGGCTCTGGGATTGTTGCAAAGTGCCATAGCAGCCTACACCACCTCGAATGATTTTATTGATAACCTCTCAACTGGAAGCGGGACAACTGGTGGAGGTGCCGGTGTTCAAGCCAATGTTTCTCCCACCCCTGTAGTCGGACAGTCGAATATGGCCGTCTCTTCTATGGGCGCGGCAGCCACGGACTTAGGTGGTACCGGGTCCTTCTTATTCTCTAAAATTTCTCCAGTTCCCACTGCGCTTATACTTTCACCGATTGTACGATTGTCTCTTCGAGAAAAAGTCTACTCGACTTTGATTAACTACTTCAGGTTTGTCTTTTTAGGAATTCTAATGATTAGTCAAAGTGGTACTCTTCCTTTATAGTATTAGTGGTCACGAGATCGTTTATTCATGTACTTCTAGTCTGCTGGGTTTGTCTAACTCTCCAATTAGAGTACTTTTAAAATTCATTACACCCACCCAGGCCAATGAGCTCTGGAATTAGTTGGGTGGGATTCACTCGTTATATTTAGCGTGGTTTCCAGATTTAAACTTACAATTTCGTACACAGTGTCTTATCAAAACTGATTGATGAAATGGAACCTTCTTTTTCGGACTCAATAAACCTCTTCTAGCTCTAGTTTGATTTGGGCTGTCAACTCACGGTAATGAAATTGCTGTGTGTTTAGCCACTCCAGTCTTTGCGACTGATGGCATATTGTTGCAGATACTTTAATCAGTGGTATAAATCTCAAGCAAGTTCCCACTGCGCTTATACTTTCACCGATTGTACGGTTGTCTCTTCGAGAAAAGTCTACTCGACTTTGATTAACTACCAATTTAATGTAATTTACTCTTTTCACTTTTTCTAGTACGGAGCCATCATATCCCCTGAAAACCGGAATGCACTTGCGTGATGACATCCAAGTTCTAATCGGAATTCGAAATGCAATAATCGCTGAACGTCGTTACCTCTCCTGTCGTCGGCTAATTAGTGAAGAGGCTGATGCATTGACCCAGATTTCGGGTCACGGTGGTGGGGGCGTTGCTGATATAAGTTCCCAAATAGGTACCCTAAGTCGTCTCGATCCCATGGGTACAATGAATTCAGCATCCAATGTGGTTTTGCCCGCAGGTCATTCTATAATCCGATCATCCAGTTTCCATTCCTCCACTATGAATGCTTATCATCCTGGCGGCTGCGGTGGTCAAGCCCATCTCATGATGGCAGCGACAAGTCCTGGCGTTGCTGGAAGATATCGCAATGGAGGTGGTTACTCTGGTGTGCCTCATTTCGTCACAGCACCTGTGGCAGTTGCATCAGCGGCCACTATTAACTCGAATAATGAGGTGGCCGCGGGGACGTGTAATGCTTACTCTTCCTGTCCCTCGGGAATGGTGAATGGAAGTAACCAGTTGAGGCCATATGCAACCTATGCGGGAACAGTTTCTCTCCTCTCGAAACGGTCATCCGCGCTAAGTAAGTGCCCCATAGCTTACTATTGCAGTAAGTCATTATACGCGAATAACATTTTCTGGCCTAGCATTCTAAATCTCATCCACAGGATGCACACCAAGATTAGAATAAAATGGCGGCAAATGAGATCACGCCAGTTTGAGATTTGTGTACATTGTTTAGAACATAATTTCCTATACTCTGGTAGCAAATGAGAATAAAATTTGAAATACCTTTTAAATTTATAGATTTGACATCTCTAAGGCTTTAATATGATGCGTATGGCAAGATTCCTCTGTTGCTACTGTTGTAACAAAGCATAATTTGCTTTATTGAAATCGTATTATATCGTTTTGCTTGCTAAGTGCCACCCTTATTTTCCTTAGGCATTTAAAGTAGCTAGAAACGAGGTGTTTGGGATCTTTAGAACTCATTTCCATTACTCTCCTTGTGTCGCCTCTATAATCTCAAAGGCAAATCTAGGGTACATATCAAATTACTAATCATTGACCTTGAATACTGACTAACGGTGACTTATCTTCAAGATATTTGCGAGAAAGGCTTAGTCATTGCTAAAGGTTTCCGAGTGATCTCCTATAAACGCACTAAGAATGGGAATATGTAAACGCACTTTCTTCAATCTGGACTGATTAATTAAAATAAGACTGTATTTTGAACTCTATTTACCACTAAATTTATTTACATTAAATGGCAGGCATTTTGATAGTTTCATTAGCCATTTAGGTGATTTCAGGCTTCACAGAGGAGAAATATCAAAGTGAAAAAAATTCGAGAGAGAGGGGGAGAACAGAAGAGTGTTTCAAAGATGTAAAAACGACAGACACAAAGGTAGAAAAAAGGTGAGGTGAGTACTGTGAAAGTAGTCGAATATGGCATACAATGGGTGATGGTAGTTTAAAGTCAGAAGTCAACTGCC